CTGCTGGCAAGCTTCACAGCTAGTCACTTACACAGCAGCTTTCATCTGTTAACAAAAAAGTCAATTTTAAAAGGTTAACAAGAACATATAGATGAGAAAGTGCATGCATCTATCAGATCCCGATTGCTTTACTATGAGATCACCTTGTTTAAAAACAGTTACAAAAACCTCCTTGCTTTGCAGACACAAAGAAGAAAACTATCAATATACTAAAGATACTAAAAGATAATCTACTATTGCTCTGGTGGTTAATATTTATAAAAATATGCTTTGTAGAACACTAAGAAAATTCATGGTTTATTTCTGTAAGGAGAAGGGAATAGGAACGCATTCATAAAAACCTGTGGTTCTTTGCTTAGAATGCCAAACTGAACTAGCAAATACTCCAGACTCATAGTGGAGGACACTGGGATTTTGATACAAGCAGATGTGTATTACACGTCACATGCCCTGCCACTTTCCGTGTAACCATTTTAGATGTTCGTAAAGAACAGGCTAAAAAAGCTGGTGCTTCATCCATTTTGGTAACTAAGTCATTTGGAAGGAAAATTAGCAACATTTGAGACGGAGCCTATGCTTTTACATTTATTGCTTCTCTGACTGGTCTTCACCACTGTGTTTTGGAGTCCTCCTCAAGGGAGGGAGATAAATCCTTTCTCAGGCTATCCAGTGGATGCAAAAAGACGCAGCTTCCAGAATACAGTGTGCAGCGTAAGAAGGAAAGACACAGCACATGAGGAGGAATAAGTGAGAAGGAGGGAGAGACTTATGGGATAAACCTGAGAAAAGCAGGATGCAGAACATCTTTTCTAGGGAACAAAGGATGGTGTGAAAGTTGGGAATAGGATTGCATTGTTTGTTGCAACCAAGAAATCTGAGAAAATCATTGGAGTTAAAATAACTGAAGCAGAGGGCCTGCCCTGGAAAGCTCCTGCAGGAAAGGGGGAATATTTCCCTTTACTTTGTGTCTCTCATAAAAGAGCTGTAATTTCAATCTGAATCCCTACAAATCACATTTTTTAAAGCTTTCGTGTTTTGTGGATACTTATTTTAAAAAGATGCACACAGTTCCATTTCTGTTTCTATATGGGCAGTTTCCTGTTGAAATAGCATACAGGAAATTTACCATTATTTATGATTTTATATTGCAATACAAAATCAAAAGCTCCCTAACATATAGTGCAGAATTTGGAAATATTAGAGATATGGTTTTCCTACTTAAATATTGTAATCCTGGAAACATTCAATGCAGTTAATTCAGCCAGACAGGAAAGTCTTTCCCTTCCTGACACAATACCTCCCTTCTCTTTTGTGGTAGGGTGCTAGATCGTAGACCATAGCTAACATAAAATCCACAAAATTCAGGTTGTACATGCACAGGTTCAATGAAGAGCTTGAAGAAGTTTTAAGTCTACTTCAGTTTTAAAAAAAAAAAAAAGATGAAATGATAATACAATGCTTTTGCCTAGGAGAGTACCTTTCATCTCTTTCAGTGTTCCTTCTTAACTGAAAAGCAAATGCACAGGAAAAAAAAAAGAGTAATGTAACTTCATATAAAAATTGAAGAATATACAGCAATTTCTTTCAGTTCTTGCCCACAGAAGAGACAGTATTTAGTGTTTTTCCTCCAGAAACTTTGCTGCAGTATCAAAAAAAACCTGTTTAGAATTGTATGAAAGTCCTCAAATGTACCATCTTGCATGTTAACCTTTCTACAGCAAAACCAGTGAAGTAACAGCTCCTCATGTGTACATGACCAGACTGCCAAGTTTGTCAGAAGCAGGCTAACTCATCTGGTGTACTATTATCACTTAAAAAAACAACCCAAAGTGCTAGAACATGAACACAGACATAACAATCTCATTTGTATATAACAGAATAGTTTCTGTGCGCCATCACACCAACTTGAAATCGCATACTAGATAATATAAAGAAAGGGCTATGAGTTTTAATCACTTAGATTATGTATAAAAGATCTTACTAGCCCCATGTTACTATTACGGACACAATAGCTGTGGAAAATCTTAATAATTATAAGGGTCTCAATAGATTCTTCTTACTGTACGAAGCTAAAGAGCAAATTTATCTCTTTAAACTCTGAAAGGTGGTTAATTCAACTCCTCATACCTTAGCAACAGCTGTTATCTGCTCCAATGCCACAGCATGAAGATCTTGATCTTTGCTTTCTACCAGCAGTTTCAAGGATGGCAGCAGGAGAGGTTGGTTAAGCAGCAGCAAACATAATTCTTTTATACACTGAAAATAAAAGTAAACTCATTTGGTGAGATCTCTGGAGATACCAGCATCATCATCATTCACACTAAAAATTATGAAAATTCTATGTCAAATGCAAAATGAAAAGAAATTTTTAAAACAAATGAACTCCCTGTCAGAAATAACTCTTTGGAAACTTGAAAGGACAAATTTTTTAGAAATCTGGAATACAGGCTTGTAAGTGCAACATTTGTTATATTAAGACAAGGCAGGTACTGAATCACCATTACAATCCAGAGTTTTATTGAAAGAACAACAGAGCAAACACAGGTCTCTGTGGGACTAATATATTTGTGCTTACTGAAATGCTGCAAAACGCTGGAAGAAACTTAACAGACACCTGTGACATTTCTGTAACTCAATTATGCAATCACGAAAGTGGCACAAAATAAAGAGAAAATAACAGTACATACCAAAATGCAATATCATAAAGCTCTGCTACAAAATCTTTTCAAATCTTATACTAATTTTTATACACAATTGAAGCTTAGCAAATTACCTTTCCCTCATTCAACTACTTTCTCTTTTTTTTATAATATAGCACAAATTTAGAATCATAAATATTCTGTAAGAAGAAACTGGTCAGAAAGATAGCATTAAAACCCACAACCATTAACAACCACTTCCCAGTGAGGCCAGATCAGATCTGTCCCATATTCCAGGACAACTTACACTTTGCTCTGCGTACTGGATGACAGTCACCTTGAAAATAGTACCCAAATCTCAGAGGGGCTCTGTTTCACTCCAACATTGAGAGAGCAATTGTCAAAAGAGTTCATCAGCTAAATATTAAGTTGGGACGATGCAAGTCACTTATTTTTTTACATCTCTTGAAGCTTAGTGACAAGTTTAACAATTTTAAGACCAAAATGCAACTGTAATTTTAGCAGCAGCACGGTTTTAGTAGCTGCAAACCTAAAAACCTAAAAATTAATTGACGATGAAGAGCTGTTAAGTGCTCCAACCGTAACATACTGCAGACACCTGGCCTTGCCTGGCACAGGCAGCGATCTGGCTGCATGTTGCTCAGTCTTTTCTAAATTTATACCTTCAAGCACCACCACCTAGAAGGATATATTCACACTGAGTCACCGAGGCAAGACTTGTTCTTTTACCCACACTTGTTCCTCTAAACTTGTATTCTGTACTGCTACTGATGATGTTTCCAGTGAAGGATATGATATAGGATCACGGAATATGAAGATTAAATAAATATGTTGAGCTTTGTTTGATCAGTCCTATGCTTACTAAACTTTTAATTTCATATTTCATTGTATTTCTTTTGACCGGTAAGCCTGTCATACTGGCAAACTTACTGAATGTAGTTAGATATTAGCACTACATGTCTCCTTTTCCTGAAAAAGTGTATCCATGGCAGTAAGTGCAGCTTATGTTCAGTACAATAAATTCCAAGAGTCAGAACATACATAACCTGAACAAAACTGCAAGTTTACCATGCTTGCTTTTTGTGTCTGAAAATGTATCAAAACTAAATGAAGAAGCCGTAAGGTAAGAAATAACCCTTAAGTATAAAAAGGGTCTCTGAAAGAACCCTAAATCTAATGTTTGGTTTGTGGGTAGAAGAAAAAGGAAATTAAGCAAGCTGTAAAATGTAACTAGGTACTGTACATTTTTCAAGCAACAAGGGCACGGAAATAAAAGATGCAGATGTTGAATCAGACTTTGCTGTCTCAATGAGCTGCTTCAAAATAAAGAAAAATTAAATCTCTCAGGAAGCTAATGCAATAATAGAGATATTATCATTGCTAATTTCAAAGCAATAACATTTAACTCGGATGATATGCCAGTATTTTATTTTCTTCTTAGATGCTTCGAAATTATACTCTACAAGTCCTAACACAATCTGCTTTGTTCATCAGAGACGCACAAATGCCTCCACATAAGAAAACATATGCTTAGCTATCCAATTAACTCCTGTTTATCTTACACTTGCACATTTTGACACCAAAAGGTCACTAGATTTCAGGTAGGTACCAGCCAGGTCATCACTATGGCATATCTTAAGTTTAGCAACACTTTGAAAATGTAATATAAAACACTGTCAGAGGCATCGGGGAATAAGATGTAGGATAGCACAGTCCAACTTGCAAACCGTTGGAGTGGCCTCCATCCCTTTTTCCACAGGAAGGGACTGAACAATTGCTAAGCAGAGTGTCCAAGCAGTACAAACACCTCCTCGTATCTCTGCCACAGAGGACTGCACTGCTGCTCTGGGCAGCAGCTGGAAATCCAGCCCCGGGTAGCCCAGCCACCACTCACAGCGCTGCTCAGAGCAACACAAGTGGCTGCTTTTCCGCAACAAGCACTCGAAAGCATTGGAGTGTCTGTCTGCCTGCAGTGAGAGGCTGTGCTTAGTGGTGTTATGATGGTATCTGTGAGAGGAACAAGGGAAGTCTTAAATCAGAATCTGGATTACCATGATTTAGCTGAAACTTTTCTAAGGTACCTTTTGCCTTCTGTCTAGTTATGCAGCTATCAATAAGGCATATAAAACGGATTTCACAGGAGCCTGCTTTGGGTCCAGTATTATTCAGTATTTTCATGGATGGCTTGAAGGGCTGGATAATAAGTACACACAGTATTGTGTCTGGAGAGGCTGAAAGCAGACCCAAGGGCAGCATTTAAATTCTAAATTATCTGAACAAAATGATCAGAGGCAACTGTGAATGAAGGAAAACATACAGTGTAATCTCATATACAAAAACCAGGAACAAATAGCTACAAAAACAGAAAAAAGGAGATCAACTGGCTGCTATATTATTCTAGGAGATAAGCATCTTATGGCCACTAGGACCTCAGGATTATTACAGATAAGAGACCAGATGCATTCTCCCATTAGGTGTTTATGTGAACTGACACATGACCCATAGGTTGACAGCAAAACATGAGATATTCAGAGAGTCACACTTTAACACTTACTGGGGGCAGAAGGATTTGCCCCTTTCTAAAGAGATTAATCAGGCAGTGCAGGAGATATCAGACAGTCCAAACCTACGTGCAATCCAAGCAAATGAAACAGTGCTTATTTCCACTAAGAGGAAAGGAAAGATCTATGCACTGAATAATGCAAATAAAAAACCCCCACACATACACAAACATAGATGATCCTTTGAGGTCCCTTCCAACCCCTAACGTTCTGTGATTCTGTGATCAAAGCTATTCAACTAAAATAACTTTGGCTGTAAAAACCTAGAAAGACCAGCAGGAGGTGGAATAAATGAAGAGAGAAATCTTAACTGATTACATCCAAACAGTTTTTTTAACTTCTAGATAATCATGACTTGCAGTTTAATGCTCTTTCCAACACAACCTCTGGACTGCAGAATGGCAAGTGTTATTCATGGTAATAAATTGATCTCTCAGTTTGAAGAATTCCATCATGTCTTCTTATAATCAGTGTATTTATTGAAATGTAAAGTAATCTAAACAGGTTAATTGTCAGGAATCAGATTTTCATCTTATTCAGCCACGTGATCTCAGCTTTCTAATTTGTGCATTTAAGTACCATAGCCATGCATACAAATAAATTACTTATGTTTATCCATGTTATTCCCCCTCTTCCCAAGTAGAGACTTAATGCAATATAGCCTGTTTGTAGGTAACTGTACAGCTACACATTTAAGTGCAACTCCTGTTGCTGTACAGCGTTCTAGTCACAAAAAAGGTATTTCACATTGGTAAAATGTATCATGTTTTACATAGATTTTGAACTTGACTTAAATCAGTCTGTTAGACTATTAAAAAAAACCAAACAATGAAACACACTCTACCTGTCTGTATTTTAAATGGAATGTGTTGTTTCTATTCTGCTTCTAGGATTAACATCAGCTATTTCATGTAACAGACTGTGATTGCGTGAAGTTGATTATAAGTGATTAATCAGCCTATTTAAAAAACGCACGACTACTCCGAAGTTGTGTGAAGTTTATTAAGCATTTCTCAATTCTGCCTTCATTAGTATACACTGTTTACATACAAAATGCTTCAATAATTTTATACTAAAGAGATACTTGTATTAAAGTATGTATACATAGTTAAGGAAGACAAAACATCGTGGTTATCACAAAGCAATTATTTGTACATTGGGCTTTTTTCATTACCAACACATTTTTCAATGACTCCTCACTCAATCTTTAAGCATTTATTAGTGAGAAAATTACTGATTATTTAATCAACAGCTTTTGCCACACTAACAGCAATGACAACACACTATTAAAGACTTTCTATAAATACTTCAAAGAGTAATTTACACTGGAACAAATTTCTAAAGGTCAGCTAATCCAACTAGCTCCAACTCAAAGCAAGTCCAACGCGATCAAATTGCCCATGACGTGATCCAGTCAAGTTCTGAATACCTCCAAGGATGGAGACTCCATGTCTCTTTTAGGTATTCACCTCTTCCAATGTTTCACCACTTTAATGGTGAAAAACTACTTCCTTGTATTTAATGAGAGTTTCTGACAACGTAAGTTGTCTCTGCTGTCTCATGTCGTATCACTGACTATCTCCAAGAAGAGGCTGGTTCCACCTCCTCTACGTGTTTCCTCATCCACATATTTAAAGACAGCAGTATCATCTCCCTCAGTCATCTCTTTAGACAGAATGAACCCAATTCCCAGCCTCTCATCTTGTTAGCTCTCCATCAGACTTGATCCAGAATGGCAACATCATTCTTGCACTTGGAACCTCAAAACACAACTCATACACAGGACACCCAAAGTTAAAACTTACCTTTACAGGGAGCATGTGCTTTGTGTCATACAAAGAGCGGCAGATTTTCAAAATTTCATTTCCTGTGTTCTCCTTTTCCTCAGGTGGGCATCTCTGTAGCATAACAGTCCCCAGTTTCACCCAAGGATTATCATCTGTGCGAGATCTGCCCATAAAAAACAGATGTGTATAGAATATAAATATACATACACACCCCCACCATTTTCTGTAGGTATATTTTTCTTGTTGGTTGATTGGTTGGGTTGGTTTTTTTTTTGTGAAGTACAATCTCATGAAAGAGGTGAAAAATGTTTTGAGGAAAGTTACTATCCAGAGGCTATCATTTTTTCAATGCAACAAAAAAGCTTAAAGCATTTTGAATTACTATGTACTGTTAAAATCCCTGATGAATCGCACACCAGATAAAGATTGATCAAATTGGAGTAGCATAGGAACAGCTTATCCTGGCTTTTTACCAGATAATTTCCCAAGCAAAATGGCATCAAGGGAGGGGTGACAGGAATCCAACATCCATAATTATGTTTGCTTTGGTCACATTCTAACAGCATCTGTCTCTCAAGTATCTGTCTTGCTTCTGAGTGGAGAAAACATTTCCAAGATTCAGATCTTAATTTTCGGCTCCAACAAGTACAAACAAAAATAAACTTTTTTTTATTGCCCATCCAAATAGGGTAGGAGAGTGAAAGTACACGCATTTGTACTTATCCATTAGTAGATATGTTTTACATGTTAAAAATGTTCTTTTCTTTCCACACAGAACTTCGTGCCATGTCACCATTACACAATCTAACAGCCAGCAGACAGTACAAGTGATACAAGTGAATTTTATCACACACGATGGCAAAGGTAGTATTTACTACAAAGTTTTGTTGCTGAAACATTTTCTGGCCTACAGCCCTTATTTGGTAGGTCATGTAGATGCTTGGCTACTTTCGTTACGGGTAGGTGTACTCACTAGGACTGGGTATACTCACAGAAATCGGTGGCAGAGTAGAGCTTTTAAATGCTAGTATGAAGTCTAACACTGGAACGCATCCACACTGTCATTTTCCTAACGTGAATTAAGTGAATGCATTCCAACTCCCATCTACAACGGGCTAAAAGCACGCACAGTCACAGGTTAGAGCATGATTATATTAAGCCTCAGTAACACAATCACTATGTTCATCTGTGCATAAACTTAGGAAGGTATGAAATGTGGTTTAAAAATCACTCCATCAAATCTCTTTGGTCATTAATCAGCAACCCAAAGGCATGGAAAACTTCTTTTTAGCTTGAATGAAAAGGAAAAAGAAAAAATCACAGCAAGGCCAAATCTAGCAGGTCCCTCTTACAATTTAGTACAAATTATGATACTCGTTCAGGACATACAGGAAGAAGCAGTAAAGTGCTATTAAAATGCTGCTTTTCAAAGATATTATTTAGTAGCAATTTTTGAAAGACTTTAATTAATATTACTGTAAATAGAGTCTATTAAGAGAGTCTGTTGGACTGATACATACTAAGGAATACGTCTGACAACTCTGCAGAGGATGACCACCAATATCTGCTATTTCGTTTGTAACAGCTCTCTCCTGCTAATTTTTCACTTTCAGAAGTACATACTGTAAACAAATAAAACCGGCTACACATGAAGCTGACATTATATCCTAACATGAAAAAAAGACAGAGATGCTAGGACTGGGTAACTTTGAATGCAAACTAAACAGAATTCATTATCTTTACTCCTCCTGACAACTTAATTCAGCCTTTCCATCAGTCACTGAGCACAGAGCTGCCACAAGTCTGGCTGGGAACAGCAGAGTTCCTCCTCTCTTCTCCCCTTCCCCTCCTCTTCCTTCCCTCCCTCTCTCCTCTCCGCCTGACAGGTCAAACTCAAAAACGCCAGCTTATTCACCAAGCAGAACATGATGCACTTCATCTGTGAACCCCCAGAAAGGTTAAGAGAAGAGAAGAGAAAAACCCTGCAACTCCGTCTTTGCCACTGGTTAAATTGATAGCTCTTGCTATGTGGTGCACCTCTTTCTTAGCAGCACGGAGAGTTCCAATGAATTTCCATTTTCATAGTCGCTGCCTCTGGAGTACACTAAAAAGACCTGTAAAAATTTCCCACTAGAAAAAGAAAACAAAAATCACAATACAAAACACAGAAGTTAGAAATAATCAGAAAGATGGAAGGCCATCAAGGCTTGCCATGTGCAGGTTTACTTATTTACGTAAAGTATGAAGCTTTACATATATAAAGCTTCCTTATAATTTTTTCAAATACTTGCATCATCTATTAACAAGTACCCATTATGTGCTATCGCTATATGAAAACAAGATTCAGTTACCAAAAATCTGGCACCTACAGGCTGAATTCAATTATCTTCTCTCCTGAATTTTACCTTAGTTCAAGTACAGTTTTAAAAAAAAAAAGTTATTTCTCAACATGAAAAAAGTAATTATTTCAATAACTCAGCATGAACATGTAATTTTTCAGCTCAGAACCAAGAGGGAAAATTTGGATTAAGTTCAAGTCAAAAGTGAACTAAGCTGTTGATTCTGTAAAAGTTGGTCTTTCTGAGTTCTAAAACACTTTATGAATATTTAAAATAAATACAAAAAAATGCCTTTTGCGTGCAGGCAGTAAGTTATAAAGAACTGCAGAGCTTCAGGTACTACCAATAATTTTTTTTAAAAACATCTTTATGAAATGCTTAAAATGGCATCTGACTATGAGCCATCTAAACGGAGAAGCAGCCATGCATAACAAGAGAGTGAAAATAAAATTCTAAAAGGTATATGGTTTTGAGTGCTGAAACAACCAAGCTACCTTTCTGTTTCCTCACAGTCAACATGGCACATTATATGAAAAGAATCATATTTGCAGGTGAACGACGAGCATTTTTCTAGCTGGAGTGGTTTAAAATACAAAAACTAAAAAGAACATTAAAAAGCTCAGGCTTAACAACAGAGGTCACTAAAATTCTTAAAAAAAAAGCCCAATAAAAAACCCCAAACTTCAGTTCATTTACTTCTTCCTTTTGAGCCATTACAGAATGTAAATCATAATGGAATATAAAACTAAAAAATATAAGTATTAGATATTTACTGTTAGGTCGAAAACCAAAATTCTAAGTGGTCAAAATGACTCAGATGTAAATTCCCCAGTTCCTGCACATATCATTACATTGGCAGTAAACAATCAGTTAGGAACAGCAGCTCTTTTCTGAAGCAGAACAGGAACAAATAAGCAAAGATTAAACAAAAAACTTAGTACATATGGCTAAATAATTGGCTTAACTGCTTGCAGTTCTCCTTTTTGCTCAAGAATTTCTTAATACAACTTGCTTTAAAATGAGATTGGTGCAAATCTCACTAACAAAACCATTCCTGCAAAACCTGCTCCTTACTCCGACCCAGCCATCAAGGTAGGATTTTCAAAAACACAACTTTGGGAACATTTATGTATAAAACTCCAGGCTGGAAAGCATAATTGAATGCTGTTAATACAGAAGTATGCAACAGAGGCAGAAGAGGGAAGGGTGGGCAATGCAAGAAGTGGAGAAGATCCCGGAGCAGAGCAGACTTGCAGCAGCCTTCCCAAAGACGCAGAGGGGGGTGGATGGGAGCGGCTGTCAGTGACAATACAGAGAGAGGAGAGAAGGTTCAGATAAAGAAGGCAGAAAGTACCAAAGTTTTGGGGTTTTTTTGATTGTTGTTGGGCCTCGTACTTAGAGCACAACCTCTCTTGGCATGAATAATTCCAGGATTTACAAAGCAAAATAATTCAAATTAATAACATTGAAAATAATTTAAAAGAAATGTAAACTATTCCCAACACACTATAACAGGAGGTAGTTGAAAAAGAAAAATCTATCTACTTGACAAGAGTTTATGAAATTAATCCTGTCTCATATCAGGGAATTCTAGAGAGACCTGTACATGACTTTTAAAAACTAATCATACTTGAGGTGGTGGGAGTCAGAGTGCATTGAGGACAGAACTTTATTTTGGGAGCACTATTAGCTCTTCAGACAGATGTCTTGAGCACACTCAAATTCATTTTATTGACAGTACACTGATTACAAAATTCAATTTGAGAACATTTCTGCACACTGAATATATTCTTACAGTAGACAGAAGTAAGAAACACGTGTTTTAGTTTTATATAAAAATACATGCCTTGATTTATTAGGTTAAGTCCTTATAATGAGTACTTGATGTTTGTCCTTTACTTGTTAAAAAATACCAGGAAAAAAAATCAAAGCACTCCAAAAAAACCCCAAGAGTCCAAAACAAAAAGGACTCATAACTATGATCATGCTGTCTACTATTAAAATACAATGTATGCTTTTTGAAAGCACTAGCAATGAGCTAGAAAGAAGGACTTTCAAGCCACAATGAGGATCCCTGCTGACACACGATTCATAAATGACTCAATCAGTCTTGCAAGTATTGTAAGAAACCAAAGTGATAATAAAAGGAAAGTAATGGTAATACAAACACAGACAGACCCCAGGGAGTGAAAAATGCTCCTCTTTGATACATTTTTCTATCAGGACATCTTTTAGTAAGGAAAGGAAAACTAAACCATCATTGACTTATTCATTAAACAAACAAACAAACAAACAAACAAGTCAGAGAGACAACATTCCTACTGAGAAAAGAACCAAGAAAAAAAGGAGGGAATGGGGCTGAAGATTTACTCTCTGTTGCTTCTTTCAAGGTGCAGCCTCAACTCTCCTCCCCAAGAAAAACACTGCAAAGGCAGGGAAGATATTTTTCCCAACCTTTCAGGCTAGCAGAGAAAACTGAAGAATGAAACAATGGTGGTAACTATGCTCTGTGTCCACTTTGCTTTAAAAAAAATAAAGAAAAAAAAAGCCCAACCAACCAACCAACCAACCAGCGTGTTTCCTATACTATGAACATAACTGCTTGCTCCACTAATTAAATTTGTTTTCATTCTTCAGTTGTCTAGAGTTTCAGGCAAACTCAAGAAAATCTGGGAAATCTGAAGTACTCTCTATTTCCCTGGAGATAACGACTCTCAATTTAGTGCTGAGTTTAGCAGAACTACTTGGGAGTCAGCACTGTACATCATCTTTGGGAATCATAAGAGTCAGAGGTCCTCCACGAAACCAGTATAACTGGCTATAACTAGTGACAAAGAAGGGAGCAATTTTCTCCTGAAGGCTTTCCAAAGCCTCCTGGCAAAGTCAAAGTAGCAAAGAGAGACACTGAAGCTTTAGTAATAACAGAAATTATTAAACAAAAAACCAACCAACCAACCAGATAAATAAATCTAATTCCAGGATAAAATTTGTGGTTTCTTCTTAGCATAAAGCCTTGTGACATGGGCTGGTCAGCCTCACCTCAGTTCCTGGAAGATGAAGCAAATACTTCTGGAAGCATTTCCAGGCCAACGAAGGGCAAGAAGTAGACGAGAATAGTCAGCATGGACTACTTTACTCTGTTCTTTTCCCTCTTATCTTAGCCAAATTGATTTTTTCATGTTAATATTGTGACTATGTAAATACCTAAGATCTATATAACTACTTTAGACCTTAAATGAGTTATGATACAGGTGATCTAAGTATTTTGCACAAATTTCCAGACTTCACAGATCTTGGAAAAAAGTATCCAACCTCTGAAATAAACCTCACTGTTAGTTGGGACTACAAATTACATTTAATCATAATTTTGTTTCTACTACTTTAGGAAGTCAGCCTGAAGGAACAGAACACCAAGGGGGAGATAAAATTAAATAATTTAAAGAACACTCTATATACAAGAAGGGTTCTCTTTTCACAAAACTTTAAGTCTTTCTGTTCAATCCAAGGAAAAAGAATTTTGGTAACTGCAGCAATATTTCACTTGACCAATTTTTCCATAAGTTTCACACTTCTTTTTTTTTCTTTAAACACTAACTGAAACAAAATTTGACAGTTCCCATGAAGTGTGAGGCATCCAATTTTCAATTACAATTAAACTAAAAAGGAAAGTTGGAATACAAATTTGTGACAGATTATATAGCAGTCCTCGTACTTCTCAATGCACTTAAGACAAGTTTTGGTTTGTAAAACTGTCATAAAGAATTTAAATTAAATAACATGTACAGTTTACCATCTAAATGGATCAGTTCTCTACAAGAACACAGAAGAGTTACCCTCCATAAAAAAGATAAACCTTAAATTTTCTTACAAATCAATGCACATGAACACTTTGGGGAGTGCAGTCCCCAAGTTAAAACAGGTTCTAATCGATACCCTCATGTAATCCAATGGAAGCATCATTTAATGTCTCTAACCTAACTACCATCAGATAACACATGGCACATCGTACTCACTAGCCAAGTATTATTTATCTCCTTGAAAAATATGAGACTTTTCCCTCATATAATATATTATATTCATATAAGATAAGATTGTATGAATCCTTATATCTTAGAAGTGGTCATCAGACATAGAACAGAACAGCTAAAATTTTTATCTTTAAATGTATTCAGAAAGTCACAGACAAAACCAAAAGAATTGGTAAAAAAAAATAATGTAGTAATTTTTTTCCCAAATTAACACTTCTAATAAATACCTCTTCTGATGGGTGCAGTACTGGAGTTTAAATAATTATTTTCATGTTAAATTGTTGGGCTAGAATATGTCTGTCCTAGTATATAGTCTTTACTTTTGGATACTTTATTCAGGAATAATAGATAGTGGACCTAGAAAAGAGAAGCACCATTACCCTCATAGACCTCCTGCAGACTGTCTGCCACCACCATCTGAACATTAACTTTCAAAGGTTTTTCTGCAAAGTGCAACTTCGAATGGAAAAAAAAAAAAAAGAGGCAGGAGTTTCTGTTCCTTTTTATGGATTTTGTACATATTGCAAAAATAAGAGCAAAAACCATAACTTAAATTTAAGTAGATAGAAAACCCTCCTATGCAACAGTTCAGGCACTAAAATGCCTCATCCATGACGCATACTACATAAGTATATAAAGTTTTTACAAGAAACTGATTGTTTCATTTCTAGTTTAAATAAACCACTTATTTTTCCCAGTATTACTCTTTCCAAAGGTCACACTACTCTTAGCCATGTCTGAATTCAATGACTGAAAAATACCTGGCATTATCAAGCAAGAAGACTTAAAAGTCTTTTATTACAATTTTTTATTATGATTGTTTGAATAAATGCTCACCCGTTGCTCATGTCCATCGGTGGCCAAGCTTGAAGGAGTAAAACCAAGTGCTGAAACTCAGCTGGGCTGTGACTTGACTCTAGAAGTCTCAGGAACAGATCATATCTTTTTTCTTCATTTTCAACATCTGTTATCTCTACCTGAAAAAAACCAAACCAAAACAAAACAAAAAAGCAATAAACAAACCAACATATTTTTTTAAGAAATCAAGGATTTAAAAGGAATCAACAAACTACCTGCGAAGGATGTCACTGCTGCAAACACTGTTGTAAAAAATGATAGTAATGTAATTTTCCCAGAAACCTGTTTTCCTACCTCTCATGTTCAATTACATGCAAATAAAACAGGAGAGCACACAGACATTGGAGAATTACTTAGATGTACGTTCCTAAAACAACGTAACCACACACAAGTATAATTATTCAATAGTTCAGAGGATCTCCGTGTTCTTCAAACAACCAGAAATTGCTTAAATTTCTTTTTTCTCAATATACAGACATATATACACAGACACATATATGTATTTTTAAAGAATGGGTATGTCTAGTGCTTCTCTAATACATATTACTCTCACTAATCTATGAAAATTCAATAGTTTTATCTGAATTTACAGCATCTAATCTTTTCTCCCACAGGAAAGAGCCCTGAAAGATAATTCTAAATTAATCCACCCAGTGAAGAACATTTCCTGACAAGTACTGTAATATCTCTGCATAGATCTTTGAACCCAAGATAAACAAAAGTCCTCAGCCCATCAGCTAGCCACCACACAACTCCATCACAGGAAAAGTGTCCATCAAAGTTTAAAACCTGCAGCTTCTGCCAGGATTTGAATTCACTTCAGTTGGTGACAGGTTCTTTTACAGATAATTACTGCTTGCAACTTGCATGGCAAAAAAGTACAAGGCAGAAGGTCTGACTTGCTATAAATGAGAACCAACTTGCTACTAAATGAAAAGCAGCTTCTGTTTAAAAGTTTGGCCATGACCCTAGGAGGGCTTTCACAAAGGGAACAGTTATTCACTGTCTACCTGACATATAAAAGTTCTTAGAGTTTCAAAACAATCTGTTACAGTAACAAGGTAGCTTCCTCTGTGTTATTAACACACTCTAACACTGAATTTTTCTTCCAAAGTTTGAAAAGTTCCAGGGTATCAAACACTTCAGTTTCATCTTATAATTCTGCTGAAGATACACAGCATTAACTGTTAACTTTTCTGTTTCAGCCCAAGTAGTTCTAAGACATCAAACATGGACAAAGATTTCCTCAGTTCTACAGCTACCCTAAAAGATTAAAAATCGCATTCCTATCTTTTCAAAGCGACTCTGATACATCAAGGGCAAATTTTTCAAAAGAGGTTGGAAAATAAAGATTACTGATGCATTTATTGAGTTGCCTACATAATTTGTGGCTTTAAAATATTTAGTGTTGAAAAACTGTTCACTTCTGTCTCCAGGGTACATCTGAAAGCACCATATACCAAAACATTTTAGTGTTTTAGTGAAGAAATGTTTCCAAGATCTGTCTAATATACTTTTCTGTACTGCAAATGTCACATAGCAGGTATCAGTTACCCACTTGTAATATCCCTAAATTCCATCTATACGTGTTAATATAAAATATCTTAATCTTCAATATTTAAATCACAAGGCTGAAAAGGGAGAAGAACAGTAATGGGTAAAAGGGATATAAGACATGCTAACCTCTAAGGATCAAAAAGTATTTAGCAATCTAGCAAATTACGTACTATCTAGACAACAGCAGCTCTCACATCACTTTATCTGTCCCCAAACTCCTTTTTCAGACTACTTCTTTAAATATTTAAACCAAGTAAGTAGCATTCTGGATGGTCCACTGAGTACGTTTTAGCATATTTACACAAACAGCACGTTACTTCAAAACACAGACTGAATGTTCAGATCTCTCTAATGATAACTGTAAAAATGGCAAGAAATGGCACAGATATTGATAGATGAGAAAAGCAGTCACAGAAATTGAGCCATTAGTAGCAGAGAATAGATGAGAGTAGATCAGACAGCCTATTCAACGTGAACTGCATTCCAATAATTCTCCCTAATAATGCATCTTTACAGACTTGGTTTTACTTTTTTTTAACGAGGTTAATTAATCTAACATTATAATGCTGTGTTTTGGACAACTGGATCCTTGCAACATGATTGCTCATAACAAAACACATGTCAATACAAACAAAGTAAAACAGAAGAATTAACTTTTGGTTCTTAAATATTACGTGCACTTCTGCAACTTTTCTTTCTAGAATAGCCTTTTTCAAGTCACCTACATTTCCCACTAAGAGTAATAAAGTGAACTTTCTACAGTGTTAGTTATTTCTAGTTTTCAAGAAAACTATTGAAAATTCACTTTTTATACGGCATTTTGAATGTGTTTCACTTCCATTTACAGTGAAACAGGTGAGATTAGAAAGCAGTGACACAGTGTGCAAGTATGTATAACTTTAAGAGTGCATGTGGTGATCTAAAACACAGCACTAAGGATGGAGGAAATGGAAAGTTAATTAAAAAGCAACAAATGAAAAATACCTAAGTACTGGCGCCTAGATGACAAGTATGATTACTTAAAAAAAAAAAAGACTAGTGTTATCCTACCTTAAACTCTCCATCCCTTCATCTTTTAAGTTCGAGCTATTTTCCCTTCTTCAATGCATCTTATGCTTCAGCATCTATCAGTTGTCTCTATACTCCACACACATCTGTGTTTCAAGTATGTTTTAAGCATCACTTCACTCCTGTGACAACTGGGTTGTTAAAATAACTTTTATTTAGAAAAAAGGAAAAGAAAAGTTGAGATTCAGATGTAGACCTACACTTTAACACCAAGAATGCCTGATTGTGTGCAACAATGGGCACACAGTCAACTGTATCAGGAATATTTTTCAAAAGTATTCCTGAGTTGAAAACATCATCAAATACATGCTGATTCTGCAAAGACTGCCTCCACACTTCATATTACACGTTGATAAGTAGTCCCACTGGTTTAAATAAGATTGCACAATGTCTAAAATTGTACCTCCCAAGAAGCAGCTGTATTTAACTTGTGTGTATATGCTTTTACACAATCAACATGATTGAAACCTATGCATGATTCACTCACTAGCATCACTAGAAAAATCCTAACGAGCAGAAGATCAACACTATGTACCAGGAACACCGACAACAAAACATTTAAAATCTTCATTTCATGGTATTGCTATTCCTATGAAACAAGGAGACCGTTTTAAGTATCAGTAAAGTAGAAGTACTATCTGCTGTGAAGTACACCAAGGCACTTGCCTTTTAAATAGCTTCTGCACTGCTTTATAGTTTAAATGACAAGATACCTTGCCCTCTCTCCAATTCTTTCCTTGTAATTCTCCAGAAATAGAAGTTACAACCAAACCATGAAAAAAACAATAGGTCCTTGCTACAAGAAAACAGTACCTTGAAGCAGCACACTGGAATGAGTTTTCTTTTATTTTTATACCTATATAGGGTGGTGAGGGTGGTTTATACATATTGAAGGTGGTGAGACAGTGGCACAAGTTGCCCAGGGAAGTGGTGGATGCCCCCTCCCTGTAAGCGTTCAAGGCCAGGTTTGACAGGGCTGTGAGCAACCTGCTCTGGTGGGAGGTGTCCCTGTCCATGGCAGGGGCGTTGGACTGGATGATCTGAAAGGTCCCTTCTGACCCAAACCATTCTGTGATTCTGTGATATATATGTGTGCGTATGTGTATGCATATGTAGATAGATAGATACACACACACACACACACACAGAGAATATAGTTTTCCTCTGTATTGTCATAGAATCATAAAATGGTTTCAGTTGGAAAAGACCCTTAAGATCATCAAGTCCAACCACTGATCCAGCCCTACTATGTCCACCATTAGAACATGTCCTTAAACACAACATCTACTCATCTTTTAAACACCTCCAGGGATGAATGACTGAACCACCTCCCTGGGCAGCCTGTTCCACTGTTTGACAACCCTCTCAGTAAACAAATTCTTCCTGATATCCAACCTAAACCTCCCCTGGCGTTTGCAAGGCTGAGGGAGAGCATGGTGAGGAAGCAGGCACCTCACACTGCAGAAAGAGAGAATGTTCTGTGTTAAAAGGTAGAAATTTCATCTTAATAGAGGCAAACGCCAGCTGAGATGAATTACCATGGTTAGTTAAGCCTGTTATTTTGTTGTAATAACACAGCAAAAAGATTAATAATTTGACTTTTAACTGAATGCTCTTTGTAGTGACTCTGACTGTTGTAACGCGAGGTGGCATTGCATTTTAACCAGTTTGATCGTATTTAAACCATCGCAATGGGATATTATAATGCAGCTTTCCCTCTCTTATTTTTTTTCTTTTAAACAAAAAACCAAAAAATATTATTCTGAAATAGTCTAATGCTATGCAAAGGTAACCTGCCAAGAACAGTTCAGAGCCCTGATAGCACAAATGCCTGTAAAGAAGAATTTGCCACTAAACAGAATAACAAGGTCCATAGCAAGGCAGTAAGGAAGATGCTTGAACCTAAGGTGATCCCTAAGGAATATGGAAAAAAAGGAAAAAGAAAAAAGAAAACAACAAAAAACAGAAGCAAGGAAAAGGCAAGCAAGGACTTTCAGTTTAACAGATTTGCTCAATTCTGTCCTGTCTTTCCCT